CCTCCCCCACCCCGCCGACCCGCTCCGAGGCCGGTTCGCTCCGGCCGATCCGGCGCCTTTGTTCCCGGGGCGCCTCCGCCCGGCTGTCCGGGCCCCGCCGCCGCCCCGTTCGTTAATTCCTCCCGAGAGGAGAGAAGGGCCCCGCGCCGCGGGTCGCGCGCATCGCGACAGCTAGGAGAGCTGCTCACGGGGCGCTGGCTGCCTGCTCGGTCCGACCTTGTTTCAGGATGGAGCAGGGCCTCCAGACCGCCGAGCCTGCCCCTAGGGTGGTGCTTTAGTAGGATATTCCCGTGTGGCAGCGTCGACCCAGGCTCCACCGCAAAAAATACACTCCTGCCTCCCGCTCCTAGAGAAATACACCCTTGGACTCCTGCTGGTGGTGAAGGTTGTTTTGATTTCGAGCCCTCAATACAGGCTTAGCCTTAGAAGTGGTTCGTGAGTTCTTTGTTCAGCGGTGCTACTCTGGGGGCGGGAAAAATAGAAGTTTTTCTTGCTGCTCGTGTCTCTTTGAGCCCCCTGTGCAAAACTGATTTGCTTCAGAAACGGTTTTGAGTTGGCGTATTGGAAAGTTCTTTTCCTCTTTCCAGGAGCAGTGGGTCTCACTGTAGTTCAGGCTGGCCTGGAGAGAGAGCTCACCCGCCATCCTCCTGCCTCAGCCTCCCGAGCGCTGGGATTACGGGCGCGCATTACCGCGCCAGGCCAGGAATTTGTGTGTTATGTAGAGGAGCGATAACACCTCCGTCAGAGTCGGGGTGTTGGGGCCTGTAACTCGGGAAGTGTCCGGCGTGTGCAGAGCTGTAAGTTCTGTCCCCAGCACCTAGGAAAGAAAGAGAAAACCTAGCAGTCACAGGGGTGTGTATTCACTAAGTGAGGATTAATAAGAACAGTAAATAGCTTCAGGTCAGGTTTTGCCACCAAAATTGTGTGCCAAACTTGGGAAAGTTTCTTTTGAGGGGTTTCTGGACTAAAACCGCAGATAGAGGCTGTGGCTCTATTACAGAGGTTGCGGAAGGTGTTTACGCCCTGCCACGCAGTGATTTAAGAGTTGTTTGTTCAAGCAAATCTGGGAGGTGTACTGTACTCCTGAGCTTGCCCGGAGTCCACCCAGCCAGTGGGGAGCTGCGGTTCTCTCTAGACAGTGTGCGCTTAATCTTAGTGTCCACGTACAGAGGAAGAAAGGATTTGGTATCTGTTCCCTACCCGCCCTTCTCCAGGCACTGTCTGAAGTGCTTGATGGCGTGATGTCCCCTTCGGCCCTAGTCCAACCTTGCTGGCCCTTTCCGTGCGGGTGAAATTCACCAGGCAGGCTGCTAAGCTGAATGATTCAGACCTTTCAGGTTTCTCTGCGAAAACGTTGGTGTCACTTTCTTTTCTTGCCTTTTTCCAACCAATCTCTACTGCTTCTGCCTCCCCGCTGCTGGTCAGACCTCCCTCCTGGCTTTCCCGAAGTTGTTCTCACCCCGCCTGCTGCTCCCTCGCTTTTCTTGGTAGATGGGAGACACCACCTCTCAGGAATGTCCTCCGCCCTGCTAATGTCCCCAAGCCCAGCATCGCCTGGCACATGTGTCCCGACGGGCATCTGAGTAAATGTTAAAGTGTTACTGAGCATTTTAAGTATTCAAATCATTCATCCCAGTTTCTCGAGTTCCCCAGTGTAAAAAATGGAATATAGTCTAATAAAATAGCCAATACTAAATCTAACGTATTTCTGATTGAGAATTTGTTTTCAATACCTACGGCCCTCCTCTCCTTTACTAAGCAAGTCACAGACATTCCTGGCTGCCTTAGTTTGCTGTGACAGGTGTATGTCTAGCGCTCTATTGTTGTGCTTATTAACTCTGTGGATAGGGAGAACTCACAGCTGGCGGGTGGGAGGGCCCACCTTGGGGAGCGGCAGGCCGTTCAGCTCATCTGTGCGGTCTCGCCCACACCATTGGCTCTGTGCACACTCGGTGTCTTCGCAGTCGTTGCGGTCACACGGTGTCCAGCTCTCTTAAACTCCCTGCGACATTGTTGTCTCGCCTCTGAAGGCCAGAGCAATTATTGAAATGTCTTTTCTTTTGTGGCGTAGGTCAGAAATTTTGTCCTCTGGCTTAAAATTGTTATTCTTAGCAGTGTGAGCCTCCGATCCAGGCACTCTGGGAGGCTGATAGCCGGACAACCAAGGGACCTAGCAAGGCCTTGTCAGTTTCAAAATTGGCCTGAATACACTCCCCAAACCAGAAATTAAAAATAACTTCTTGCAGCTCAGAAAATTATTTTTTGGGTGATGGATAGCTTGTGCCATAAAATAGTAATGGAAAGTTTTGCAAATAGTTTTTGAGTGTTGCAAAAAGAAAATGACATTTCTTGATTATAAAATTTGGGGAGTGCTGGGGATTTAACTCAGCGGCACAGCACCTGCCTGGCAAGTGCAAGGTTGTGAGTTCGATTCCCGGTACCGGAAAAAAAACAAAAAAAAATTTTTTTTGGACAAGTTAGGGGTTACCTTGGCCTCATCTTATTAATTAGCATAATTTTCAAATGTTTTGGAATAGGTTCTTAGGCAGTGTAGGTGTTTTTACATTCTGCAACTTGGCTTTTGTTTCTTTTCTTTTCTTTTCTTTTCTTTTCTTTTCTTTCTTTTCCAAGAATCGAACCCTACCTTGAGCTTGCCAGGCAAGTGCTTGTGCAGCTGAACTGTATCCCCAGCCCGCAAGCTCTTGTTGGAGCACTGATGACTGACTCTGATTTTTTTTTTTTTCATTTAAACCTTTTTCAGATGAATACACAGATCAAAGTGGAATGGTTTATCTTCTGCTCTTTTTGAAGTTAAAACTTTTGAGGGCAGAGTAGTGAATCAAATGAATATGACTATGTGGAGTAATTTCTAAATCCCATGATTTAATCAAATATCTTTTTTTTTTTTTTTCAAGCACCTCAAGGGAGCAGAGTAATTCTAAAAGCCAGAGCAGCCAGGCCACGTGAAAGTGACCTCTGGTCACTGATAGACTGCTCTGGAATTAGTGTGAACTTTGGTACAGAATCATTTTCTGTTTCAGACAGGCTCACCCTGTCTGACAAGCATGACAGTCATCCATGGACTTTAAAACTGATGATGCATTAATAGTTTCTTCTAGTATTCATTCTTTTTAAATTTTTTACAAACTTCTTAGTGCATTTGCAGTACCTATTGATTATATCCACGCACGGAGTCACTACATGTACATAACACACCTTAATTTAGCACTGATTCTTAAGAATACTGCTTCTTGGTGTGATGGTTTAGTGTAAAACATCAGTATTGAAATAAATGGATAATTATATCGCCTGTTCATTGAAAATGTGTTTTTATAGTCTGAGTAAGAAGCAAGGATACTGGGTGTGGTGGCACACACCTGTAATCCCAGCATTCTGGAGGCTGAGGCAGGAGGATCGTTAGGAGTTCCAGACCAGCCTGGGCTACAGAGTGAGCTCAAGGCCAGCCTGAACTGCATCGCGAGACCCTGTCTCAAAAAGACAAAAAAAGAAAAAGAGGCTAGGCTAGGTTGGCGCCCCTGCTTCTCACCTGTCACTCCTCTAAGTCTGTAAACCAGTTAACTTGCTAAGCTTCCTTTTCTCCAGTTGCAAACCCTGGTGATGGATGGTAGACCTGCACCATGGAAAGCACCTGTTCCACAATAAACCTTGGGCAAATCATAGTTGTCATTGGCAGCCATAATGTGAGAGAGCTTGCCCAGTTAAGTTAACAAAAGCTAGGTTATCTGGCGACGCTTGCTCAGAAGAGTTGAAAAGTTTTAAATAGGAACTCAAACCATAAAGATACTACAAGAAAGCAAGGCAGTGTTAAGAAAATCTTGGAATGGAGAAGACTTTTGTACATGCATCACGAAATCCAGAAGCATCATTTAGGGAAGAATTAATAAGCCGCATAAAATTTAAACCTCTTAGTACCGAAAAATACCATTTAAGAAATATAAGGCCAGGAGTGGTGGCGCACACTTGTAATCCCAGCACTTGGGAGACTGAGGCAGGAGGATCGCTGCGAGTGCAAGGCCAGCCAGGGCTACAAAGTGAGCTCAAGGCCAGCCTGAACTGCATAGCGAGATCCTGTCTCAAAAAGACAAGAAATACAACAGTTTAAAAGGGGGAATTTGGGAAGAAAAATTTTGACCAATGTGTGACAGTTTCCTTGGAATCTTACAAAGCCGTGAAGGGCAAAAATGAATTACTGTGAAGTAGTAAGGTGATCAAAGGCAGAAAAATAGCTGCTGTCTGCCTCTGTTTGTGTAAAAGTCAAAGAACAAGCGAAAGTAAGCCAGAATGTGAGAGAGGGCCTCATGGGTGGAGAGAGCAGAGCGGTAAACATCCCAGAATACGGAAATGTGTCTTATGGGGGTTGTGGTGAAGGCACAGCCGTCACACACCTAGGACCGCTGCACCTTATTGCTCATCCACTTCAACTTAAAAAGTGGTAGGGGTTGCTCCTGCCTGAGAAGCCCGGACTGTCAGTGAGGAGCAGATAGAGATGGGAGCGAGGGAGGGAGACTTGGGAGAGGAGGAGGCCCTGGGTAAGGAGGGAGCGAGTAGGGTGGGAGGGATGAAAATGACAGTGACACTGCACACGTGCATGCGTGCGTGTGTCCGGTTCACAGGTGCCCAAAATTGACAGGACTGGACCTGCAGCTCAGTGGCTGGTGCTTCCAAAGCCCAGGATTCAGTCACCAGCCCTGAAATAAAACATGTGAGAGGTAGTCACAGAGAACTACAAATGGAGTGCTAGGGGGACATTCTGTCTCCACTTACAGACATGGCGGGAAAATAAAAGAAAGGTGTAAGACTAGCATGGGCTTTCCAGGTGGATTTTGGGTGAACTTGATGCCTCAGAATTCCACTTCTGGGCCTTTTTCCTGCAAAAGGTGAGTATTCCGAGGTGTTCGTGGTATCGCTGTGTAAAGCAAACCATACTGCCACAAAAGTCCTTGTAGGATAAATTGAACGTCAGCCTGAATATGTTGGACACACTTATAGTTCCAGCTAGTAGGGAGGATGAGGCAGGAAGGTCAGTGGGGCCTGAAGATTCAGGACCAGCCCCAGGCCACACAGTGAGACCCCCTCGGTTGGTAAGGAGTCATGTTTATCTGATGGGCAGCCATTAAAGGGGTGGCACTGGGGGAACTATGTCAACTTCTATGGAAAATTTTTCTTCTATAAGAAAAACAGGTAAACCATGCAAGCTCCACTTAAGTGAAAGCAACGTATGCGCGGAGAGCACCTTGAAACTCCCAGTACTCACTTTGAAATTTTCTTTCTTTCTTTAGGAAGATGTCTGATGAGTTTTCGGTAAGTTAACAATCTTATCCTTGCCAAAGGTTTTCAGAGCTTAAGAAAAACACAGTCCTAACCACAGGCTGCTCTGTCTTGTGGTGGTGCTGGGGATCGAGCCCAAGACTTGTGCACCCTAGAAAGCGCTCTAGCATTGAGCCACATCCCAGCTCCTTCCAAGTCTTTTTTAATTTATTTATTTTCTTACAAGTCTTCGAAGTCCAGGTGATTTTTAAAAGATACTTTTTGTAGGCCAGGCGCGGTGGCGCATGCCTGTATTCCCAGCAG